TTCTTTCTTTCTTTCTTTCTTTCTTTCTTTCTTTCTTTCTTTCTTCCTTCCTTCCTTCCTTCCTTCCTTCCTTCCTTCCTTCCTTCCTTCCTTCGCGGGACGACCGCCCCTCTTACAAGGAAGCCCCTTCGGTAGCTTCTCTGCCAGAGAGCCCTCACCATATTTACAGCCCGGTCCATCCAGGCCTCCGTTTCCCCCGCGCTCACCCGCCACCTCTTCGCCGCTTCCATCTCGGGAGAGAAAAGCGTCGCTGCTTAACGGAACGAAAAGTCAAGAGCGAGCAGATCCGAGGGGGAAAGAAATGAAGGAAGAACCGCGGCCAAGGTGCCCGGGGAGGGGAGCGGGGGGAAAACGACGGACTCCAATCGCGGGGAGCACGTGGGCCGAACGAAGCTGGCGTCGGAGACGAGGGGCGGGGCTTCCTGCGGCGCGCGGGGGACGGGTGGGCGGAGCGGCGGCTCGACCGGGAATTCTCATCATCCGCCGCCGCCGCGATGCTGCTGGCCGTGTGGGGCTTCCTGAAGCGTCACAAAAAGAAATGCTTCTTCTTGGGCGCTTTCCTAGGCGGTGAGTTTCTCTCCCCACCGGGCATTTTCCGGTCTTCGCCTGCTGCCCAGAAACAGCTGTTAACAAGCAGCCTACCTGATCCCGAGATCCCCCTGCGCTCTTCCTTCTGCCCCAGAGCCAGAAGCGTCCGCCCCCTAAAATCTGCAGGACTAAAATCTGCTGGCCCCTTTTAAGTTTTGCTACGCTCATCTATGCCGAGCGGGCTTGCTCCCAAGGATGGGAGCATGAGGATGGGCACCTTGACTCCTGATTAATTTACCGATTTTCTTCTTAGTTCTCCGTATGTTCACCTATATTGGCCTAAAATACCATCTCCTTGCTCGAGAGGTCGATATAGAGAACTTGCCTTTCCTCCTATTGACTTTCCACTTCCCTCCTTTCAAGACTGTCTTTTATTTTTATTTATTTCATCAAACATCTATCAGATGGCAAATATAAGTATAAGCATGATTTGAATACATGAAATGGATACGAATAAAAAGTAACATTAGGACAGGGACTGCAGGCAAGTTGGTGTGCTTATGCACGTCCCTTACAGACCTCTTAGGAGGTCTTAGGTCGGTTTGGGGAAGAAACCACAGAGTGTTTCTTGCTCCTTGTCGTACATATCCTGATATTTCTGCCTTAAAAAATGGATATGCTACGGTGAATTCATTGATATAGCATTTGTTACAACAAAGTTAAAATAAACTCAAGCAGTAGTGAACAGGAGGAAAGAAGATTCAAGCATATGCTTACCTGAGCTCATAATTTGCCAGCATCAGCTTGAACAATTTTCCCTTTAGATAATATGAACCAAACAAGTTTAGCTGTAATTCCAAGAACATTATCTTAATAGAAGAGGAAAAAATAACTTTCTGTTGCTCTGAAAAATAAATGACAGATTATTTTTCCTGGGGCCTTGTACAAATAGGACAATGAAGGAAAGGATCACAGAGAGTTACAATCACATTTGCTGGGCCTGGATGAAGGTGTGGACTGAAAGCAATGTTTCAAAACCTGTCTTGAAGCACTGTTAATGGTAGTTTTTGCTTTTAAAATCTCTCGCTAGAAGATTCTGAATTCATAAATATGCTTCATTGAATGGGGATTTGTAATTAAAGGAAACCAAGTTGCCAGCTTACAAATACATAGTACATGGGAGAGTGCTTGGTTATGGAATGCTTAGTTAAGAATTTATCTTGCCTGAGAAGTTCCCCCAATGGAGATGTACAGGTAGATCCTACTGATGAAAGAGGTTCAAGTTCAGACAGATTCTTTAATTAGTTCACATGTTCTGCATCAGTCTTCTTCATTCACAATTGCATGAATAGACTTGCACAATACTTTCCTGTTTCAAGTGTATCTTGTCACCCACTTGAGAAAGTATCTTTTTTTTTTCTAAATACAGAAGTTTCTCCCCATGATCTTGCCCAATGCAGTTCTTTGTTTACTGCTTTTCTGGACATATATTATTCTTGGGCTGATCAACCATATCCCAAATTGTCAGTAGCTTGGTATTTCAGAGAGTGTAGTGCGATATGTATGTGCGTATGTCTTTTATAGGGGTTTATGTACTTGGAAAATATGGTCAGAAAAAAATGAAAGAAATTCAAGAAAGAGAAGCAGCAGAATATATAGCACAAGCAAGAAGGCAGTATCATTTTGAAAGTAATCAGAGGACTTGCAACATGACAGGTAAGGTAGTACTATAGCTATTTTGTTTGTCAAAGAGATTAAAGTCTGAAACTCACTGTCAAATTCCCTTTTTTGGGGTACTTGTTTTAACATCTACCATATTTTTCGGAGTATAAGACGCACCTTTTTTCCTCTAAAAAGAGGCTGAAAATCTGGATGCGTCATACACCGAATACAGCATTTTTTGCCTACTGAAGTCTCACCCCTTCACCAAAATGGCTGTGCATAGCCTTAGGGAGGCTTTCAGACAGCTTCTGGGGCCTGGGGAGGGCAGAAATGAGCAAAAAATGGGCCGTTTGTTGCAGCCCACAGCAGCACTCTATAAGCCTCCATAAGGCTATGCATGCATATATTTTTTTTACTAAAAATGACCCATTTTCATGAAAAATGGACCGTTTTTTGCTCTTTTTTGGCCACCTCCCCCAGGAGCACTCTGCAAGCCCCCACCCCCACCCCAAGGCTATTCATGCCTTTTATTTGAAAAAAAAACGGGCTGTTTTGGGGAGGTTTGCAGAATGCAAAACCTTTTTTTTCTCCACCTTTTGGAAAGCTGTTTAGTTAGAGTGGTTGATGAGTTTTTGGTGCTACAGGTTGTCAGCGATTTCCTTCTCCAGCACATGGATAAATACATCTGGAAACATCTACCTACCTACCTACCTACTCTCTGTCTCTCCCTACCTACCTACTGTATTTCTCTCTCTCTCCCTCTATCTACTTATATACCTACCTATCTACTGTATTTCTCTCTCTCTATTTTTCTCTCTCTATCCCTCTACCTACCTACCTATCTACACTCTCTCTCCCTACCTACCTACCTACTGTATTTCTCTCTCTTTCTCTCTCTCTCTTTCTACCCCCTTATCTACCTACCTACCTAACTACTCTCTCTCTCCCTATCTACCTACTGTTTTTCTCTCTCTTTCCCTCTCTATCCCTCTATCTACCTACATACTTAAAAAAAAAGCCTCTTCAAAACCTGGCTGCATCTTATATTCCGGTGCGTCTTATATTCTGAAAAATACGGTAACTCCTGTTTCTTTAATGAAACAATTGCTGCAGATGAAATACTGCTTAGAACAATGTTTGCTAACTTGGGCAACTCATCAAAACATAACTACCATAAATACAAACAGATTTGTAAGCTATTTTTTATATTTCTAGTTGACTATAAATCATGAGCAACTGAGCAATTTATCATGCAAAACATGATTAGCCTTAACAGTAGTTTGGTATTATGTTTGAACTACATTGGTATGGTTAGTCATGCTAATATAGACATGCTAGTATAATAAATAGGATTCAGAAGTTGTTTGTCTAATTCTGCATTTTCAGGAGGGCTCTGTTTTTTGTTTTTTGTTTACCAGTAATTTGTAATCTCACATAGCAGATTCCTTTTGAAACTGATGGGCTGTCAGTGATTTTTACATTTATTGTTTTCTAAAGGTTATTTTAAATAAGCCTTAAATATTTTTCCCAATGTTAGAATTATGTTATCGAGATCTTTACATCCAGTTCTACTGTAACATCTTCACTATTACACTCCAGTTATTATTTTTACTTTGTTGATGATGCTCTGTGCCTTCAAATAATTCTTCCTATCATCTACTTTTTAGTACTATCAATGCTTCCAACATTAAGAGACACTTTGATGTATCAGCTGAATTCTGAGAGTCTCACTTCCCTGCTAAAAAACAAGTAAGCATAAATTATCAAGAGATTATTATAGTTTGTTTTGAATGTCTGTTCTTTAGATTTTGGTAGTGTATATGTACATAACGTTAGCATGGACAAAGCTATTTATTTTCTGTTAACACACTGTTGAAAGTATTTTCTTGCCAAAGTCATGTAAGATTGAAATAGCTTAGAATGTGCTATATGAATTGACTTTAGGAGAGGAAAACTTTGCAATTGAAGTGTCTGACTCCTTTTTTCATGCTATTGTTTTATGTGTGAAACTCATAGATGATTCTGCATTCTGGTGAAATTACTTTTTTTTTACATGTTTTCTGAAATATTTATTACCAAGGCAATCTAGGGCTACACATTTGTATTTTTTTCAGCATCACAAAAAATTGTGATTTATTCCAGTGCTATATGAGCAATTGTGCTTATACAGTTGAACTTCCTGTTCCTTTTCAATATGTGCAGAAGAATGGGTAGAATTAAGAATCCATTCTGTTGACAGAACAGCGTCTCTCAACTGACTGGCATCATTGCATAGGTTCTGTGCTTTGCAAGCATTCTCCTTGTGACAGTATCACTTTCCAATATCCCAGCATTTTTCTCCCTCATCATATTTTTATGTTTGATTTTTTGTTTTGTTTGATGTGGGTGCTCTTCAGATGTGATAGAGCTCTTCAATTAATTATAAATGTGTTTATTCTATTCTTTCTGTAGGCCAGCCAATAAGTTAGAAATATGGGAAGAATTGAAGATTATAAGTAAGTCAAATGAACCATTGTGCTTGTGATCCTTTGAGACTCTGAATGACACTTTTCTTTCTTCAGTATTGGCTACTGTGCTTCAAATACTATCCCAACAAACATTATAATTTGTCCTGAAGAAAGCATATTTATTCAAAAGTAAGCCTTACTGTTTGTTTAGTGGAACTCTGTTGAATTAGTTGTGAATTCCCATAGTGGCCGTAGTTGTTAACTCTCCTGGAATAAGTGATGTCTACCCTTAGATGTGTAGTTATTTTCCATCTTATTTTATTTTCTCTAATTTTAAATCTCTGTTTGTAATGGTGTGATTAAAAACAATAGCCTCTCTCTCACTTACTTCAGCATTTACCACATAGCAATAGCAGTTAGACTTATATACCGCTTCATAGGGCTTTCAGCCCTCTCTAAGCGGTTTACAGAGTCAGCATATCGCCCCCACAGTNATGTGAGAAGGAAGAATGAAAGTTGGAGGGGGTTGAAAGAGGGTGTATGGTGGGTCAAGGTGGTATATTGGGTTTGTATTTTAGGGTGCATTTTCTATATAAGTGCGGGCTGTGTTTATTACTAAATGTTATATGCTCCGGTTATCCACAGTAAACATGTGATTGTATAGAATGAAATGGAAATAAAATATTATGTTATAGAGACAAAAAAAAGAAAAAAAAAG